TCTGCATTAGCTGAGAGGGGGGAATAGTGAAGGTGTGAGCAAAGACGTCACATGCTTTAGCATCATTGGCTCTTTTGCAGTCTGTAAACATAATGCAGGGCCTGTGACCTTTGCCAGCCACATTTCCATCACGACTTTGTCTCTTGCCTGAATTACCTCACGTATCCGCCGTCTGCTGTTACGCACACAGAACTGTGCATCTACTGGCACCAAAATTAAAAATCATAGTAATTGACCGGCTATTTGAAGCTGTTTCCTTAGAAAGAGGTTAGCACATGGTGGTGCCAGCAGAAATAATGAGCATCGCTGACCTGTCTCACAGTTTTAATAATTATTTCAGCTATTCTTTACCCTTACAATTCAGTCGCAGGATCTTTACTGCTACCTAATCATTATGGAGATGAGTCTAGTTGTCGATGCCCCAATCGCGCCATCTGCTGGCCAATATCTGGCATTTCACCTTGATTCAGAGCCCAATCTCAAGGGCAGGATTTCAAAATCAAGAGTAGTATTAATACAAGAAATGGAAATCATTGCTCTACCTTTCTCTTCTTGAATAATATCAGATGATTCCCTTCTACTCTGCTCCCCAAACAAGGTAGAACCCTGGCACGGAGCCAGTTCCTTTAATATGTAGACCCACCACCACCACTCAGGATACCTGAGCTGGGGTCAAGGAACAGGGAAAAGCTACTTGACACAACCTCAGATTCAGCTGTGACACAGAGCTAAATGTGTAAATGGGACCCAGTGAGTTCTGGCACTGATAATGCAACCCTGGGATTGGGGGAATGTGGCTAGACAAGGTTTTGGTTTCTCCCACTGTTTCATGTAAGGTCTCAGACTTTGGTCTGTGAACTGAAAGAAATGTGTGAAGGTGTGTACTGTGTACTTTTGCACTGTGAGCAATTCAATTTATTAAGGATAGCATTGATAGTGAGTATTGGACCTGAAAAAATGTGAAATGGAAAAGCAAAACAAAGCTGGATGGTTATATACAGGTACAATTAATTCCACTTAATTTAGAAATGTATTTAGCAACTTAGACTCCTCAGATACAGAGTTCTAATGTAGCTCTCTGTCCGCAAGGAGCTCAGAGCATAGTGTTTATGTGAATGTGGACTAGGGAAGGTTTACCAACAAATTTAAAATTGCTATTTTAAGTTCAACAATAATTATGTACTAGACACAATGACAGAAAGCAAGAAGAAACTAAAGCAGTTAGGCTGGATTAGGGAAAATTTCTCAGAATAGAAGATAATCAAGTGTGCTAGTAAGAATGGGAATGATAGAAAGTTGTCTCTTTTTGAGAGTCTACCATAGGCCTGATAGTCTATAAGATACCTGGTGCAAATTATCTCATTTAACTCTTACAACAACCAGAAGTCTATGAATTATCATGCTTGTTTTACAGATGGTGAAACTAAGACTAAGAGTGATGAAGTTAGAATTTGCAGCCACAATCTCTGGTCTCCAAGCCCCATTTTTTGATTGTTGTATCTTATCTATTTATGGGAGCCTAAAAAGGGGGAAGTAAGATATACATATGGAAAAATATATAGACACAAATTATAAAATAGCTCATTCAAAGATTTAGTATTTTGATGTGGCTAAAGTTTGTGTATGAAAGGAGTGATCACACATGTGAACAGACAGAAAAACAGGACTCTCTTCTACTAAGGGCTTTAAACACATTTTCTTTGGTCAGAGTTTTCTTTGTGGTAAGTATGTGAACAGCTGGCAGAGAGCATGTTCTTGAGAGATATTAGGCTGAGGGCATTGAAGGGATGGGACAGAGGGGACTGGGCCCATAAACCTATGCCTAATACATAGAAACTGGAACCAAGGGAGTTACATATTCAAAGCTGAATAGAGAAGA